TTATGAGAGTCCTTCCTCTGTTCACTCATCGATCAACAACTCTGGGTTTAGACTGAATAAGTAACAGACATTCGTTAATCATCTTCTCCAGTTCCAGTTCGTCCATGATGCTGAATGTGATGCAAGGGAAACACATGGAAGAGGTTTATTTCATAATTTTAGCCTGTTTTCCAATGTTTTAAACCCTGCTGATATGTGCTTATTGTGGTGGAAGAAAGGTATAACACATGCCACCCCCTCTCTACTCCTAAACTACAAATGTCTCTGTTTCATCATTACCAGAACAAATACACACAAATAAAACATTCAGTCTTCTTTTAAAGAAGACTGAATGTTTTATTTGTGTGTATTTGTTCTGGTAATGATGAAACAGAGACATTTGTAGTTTAGGAGTAGAGAGGGGGTGGCATGTGTTATANCATTGCTCAACTTTTGCAGCCTGAAACGCCAGGAAAGCTCCGCTCTGCTACCCACAATTCAGTTCGGCGAAAAGCGAGGCAACGTGACGTCACCCCATTCAAAGTGAATGGGCAGACGCGTTGGAAACCGTTTTTGAAGCAGTCGAAGCTGTAGTGTGGACGGGCCGTAAGACGGTCTTGTGTTTTCAAATGTATTTCCACTGTACTTTTTCTAGTAAGAGGTTTTTTAATTAAAGGTTGTTTTGTGGCACAACTTATCCACCTGAAGGCAGGAGCAATATTGCCATTAATACATATGCAGGAGAGGTTTTAATATAATAAAAATATATATAAGACCCTATTGTACTCAGCAGGTCACCATTGAAAAAGAGGTCAATGATCTCAATGGGTTTTCACCTGAATAAATAAAGGTTTTGAATTGAATTTAATACTCTAGAAAGGCATCTAAATGATTATTGGTTCCTTTTTGTTTTGAAGAAAGCATGATTTGGGAGCATTTAGCCAGTGCAACGTCGACCGGCGACAAAAAGCCATTTGTTAATGTTTTTTCAGCAAGAAAGGGCTTAAAGCTTAAGACGTTCTTGTGTTTTTACTTTTATTTCCACTGTACTTTTGCTGTTAGCAGTCTAACATGTTTGAGTTCAAGGTTATTTGGTTATCCACCTGAAGACAGGAGCATCATCTGGTCTGACGTTCCCTACGTGTGACAGCGAAAAGACAGCAAAGAGGTAATGGGAAAATGGGAGATCCCTGGAGTCCAGGCCAAGTCAACCTCACTCCTGAATGCTGCAGTTTCTTCTTTGGATGCATGCGGAGCGCTTTGCCCTTTGTTGCTACAGAGGGGCGTGAAGGTGTAAAAGAAGACTGAATGTTTTATTTGTGTGTATTTGTTCTGGTAATGATGAAACAGAGACATTTGTAGTTTAGGAGTAGAGACTGCCAAGGCACAC